AAGTCAAGATCACATTATTTACCTATTTTATTCATCCATTGTTTGCCTACCGTTTTATTTTTTTCCATTCTTCTCACAACTTTTTAGCTTCTATATTACTATTTTACATTTTCACCTAATTTTTGCTTTTTCAGTCTTCATGTTAGCATCGTCTTCTAGAGCATTTATCAATAACTATTTGCTGATAACCTCACGCAACCTGTTCACATCCTCCATTCTTCAGCGCCATCAGCAACACCGAATAAAAAAGGTTACTTCCTCAGATGGCAAAATGGTAGCTGCTCGTCAGGAGGCCATTTTAGAACAACGCAGCTTAACCCACAGAAAAAAATGGCTTGAGGCTCGTGAAGCTGAAGAAGCCTTGTCTAGCAAACTGCCTCCTGCATTGGGTTATTTAGACGGAGTTCTTGTATATTTAGCCAATCGCTATGCTACAGAAAAACTTACTTTAGATAAGGCGATTGAATTTCTAAGGGAATCTGCCGATCAAGCGATGTTCGATTGCCTGGACAATCCTTTGTATGCTTTGGTAAGCGAAAAATTTCCTAATGCTACTTTAAATATATGTGAATCGCATATTCTGGTTTGCTAAGATTCAGGAATTCTTATATATTTCTCAATTCTGATTTTATCTATGCCATTTGCAAGTGTCAAGATAGTTCTTTTTGCAAAATTAAGGATCCATTGAATGCTTAAAAATATATATAGGTCGTTTACATTTAGCCTTCCTTACTTTCTATCTCTTGCCCAGACACACTTTTTGTCAACAAGGCAATTTACCTAATATCATCGCTTTTTCTTTATCATTTAATGCAGCCTAGGGTGACTACAACTCGTACTTACAGTGTAGTACTAGTCTACAGACCAATTAGCCCACGATTCTAAGGCAAATAACAGTTTTATCATGTTTATAGCGCAAAAATATGGTGTAAGGTTTATTATAAAAATGTTATGTTTTCCATTTGCTCTTCCACGTTCCTGGCCTTCATACGATCATCGTAAATTAAAGCGATGGCTTGGTTTTCCTATCTAATATTAACCTGCGATTAGAATTTTATTGACGAAATTAATTTTATATTTTAGTTTTATTTTGCTTACAAATAATATATCTTTTCATAAATGCTAAGAAATCTTCCAGTGGATCTTCTACTAGCAAGGCCAATGGTTGCATTTTCGGTATTCATGTTAACTTATTCCTAGACTATGATTAATTAGTTAATATT